TGAGCTTCTAAAGTTAGCTTGTGTTCGTCCCGATCTCAGAGTTTTTATGTTTTGAGCTCATAGGAGCTTAATCTGGTTAGTGCTGAGTACAAAGGGGGAGAAAATGGGGTCAATAGCTCCTGAACGCATCCTAGTGATCTTGGGGTCAACGGCCCTTCCTGATCCCTAACGCTCAGTGGGCCTCCGTGGCCAGCTCCCAACAGTCTACCAGTGTCCATCGTCACATACAAGAAGAATGGGCAGTGTGAGGTATTTCCTAAACATGTTTGACTGAGATGGCCTCTTTCACAGGGCCACACAGGGATTAGGATGAAGCAAAGTCACTGGAGGCAGATTCGCTGCTACAGGTGGAACAGCCTTCCTTCTGTGGACACAGCCTGGCTCCAGACAGCCAGATGCAATGGAGGAGGCATCTACATACTACACCACAATCCTGCCCCAGCCTAGCTGCCCTGCCTCTCCCTTGGGAGGGTCTTAACACTTGCAGCCACCCTAACTCTTGGCAAAGGGCCATGTTGCCATGAGGAGACTCCAACAACAGCACTCTCAGTCTCACTTTCCAACTCATACCTGACTGGAAAGGTTCTCAATTAGGAGGTAGTGATGTGTTAAAACAAGAAATGCCCTCACAAGCTCTCTTCCCCTTTGGTCTCCAAAGAGTAAGAATTCTGAAGATGCAGCAGTGACTCACAAGGGAGGTCCCCAGGTCTAGACCTGGAAGGCAGCATCCTGGAGAGTGTGACTTCAGCTACAGGTAAAAGTTAATAGTGATATTTTATCACCATTTTTCTGATTCCTGCATTATTTCTTATAGAGAACCTGAGGGGAAAGAGAAGAGACATGATGAATGACACAGTTATAATCCACTGCCCATTTGTTACATGATAAGCACAAAATATGTAACTATCTCACAGAATAGCTGCCCTCTCTCAGCAGCAGCTGAATCCAACAGAACCCATGCTCTTCAGATCTCGCTGATAAACTGTGAGCTGAAAAAGGGGAAAGGACAGTGGAAAGTGCCAGTGCAAAGAGCTTGAGCATGCCTGGAGACCGTTCCTCTCCAAATGATGGGCATGTTTCCATCAAGTGTCCTGCCACTGAATATCTCAAACACCCATCTAGTTCCTCTTTTCTGGTTCACCAAGTAGCCATCAGGTAAGACTCCAGCTTCCCAAGCAGATCAGCAAAAGGGAGAATAGGCCTGAACCCCAGGTATGGGCCTTCTGGTCTACCCAACAGCTCTGTGTTTCATTACTGTGGAATTAAGTGCTCTTCTGGTTGTATATCATGGTGTGCTTGGCTAATGTGAGTCCACTCCTAGGAGAATGAGCCAGTCTTGTCAACATGACACATCCAGTGTCTGAGGCTGGTGACTCAGCTGCTCCCCAGACTCCTTGGTGAGCTGCCAGGAAGCCTCTGCAGGCGAGAAGCCAGCATGCACTCATTCTGTTTCAAATTTCAGCAATAAGCCCAAGCTGAAAATATAAGTTTGGAGAGTAATCTCCTGTTCTCGTACCATACGTGAAACTGCCTTATACTGGCTCCCTTGAGAGGAGAAAGGGAGTCCAAGTTCCTTAACAAAAGAATTGATCAACTGCCTAATCAGAACTATAATGCAAGTTGAATTGCCAAGCTAGGACCTAGGAGACATGGTGGCCCTTATGCCATGACTCTGAGGCTGAAGGAAGATCACAGGGACAGATGACTCCAGGATGAGAGACTCTAGAAATGCAAAGGGAGGTGTAAGTTTCCAGCAAAACTTCTGACCTCACCAAGGAAAAATAGCATTGGAGTAGCAAATAACCCAACCTCACTTCTAGACACATGAGGAAAAGTTTTTAAAATCTTTCAAATAGATCATAAAGTTGCCTAAAATTCTACCCCATCTGTTGCTGGTTAATCACAGTTTGCTTGGAGGAACGAGATCGCTCTTTTAAAAAAGAAAAGGGTGGAAATCTGAAATGTAAACTCTGTAAAAGTAAAGACTGTCAACAATTCCTTCTATAAGTTCTTTTTTGTTGTTGTTGGGTTTATTTGAATCCTGAAGACATTTTTCCCACAAGAATGTAATAATGAAGGTGAAGATTCCAGAATAGCCCTTAGAAATCTACTCAAACTTGAAGATATTTGGGACTTAAATGATGTTTCATGCTTTCCCTACTGATGAACTCACAGTTTCATAAACAATTTCTTGCCAAAAAACAAGAAGAATCACTACATTCTCAAACTAAAAGGCTTTACTATGGGAAATGCATTCTAAGCTCCCACCTAGAATGTGGAAAGCTGGATGACATCTCTGTGTCCATCCCCAATACCAGAAGCCAAGGAAATCATAGATCAAGAAAGGACTCTCCACCTCTTCAGCCTCTCCCCGCCCCTGACTCCACTCCCTGATTCCCAGACACCTGGAGCTCCCATGGCCTAGCCAGCACACGCTTGATGGTTTTCACCAAACTGAGGCAGCAACTAGCTGGGTTGAGGAGTGAGTCCCAATTTCTTTGAGTAATACATGATATCACTTGAAATGAGATACTAGCTATTGAAAGGTGGCCGGGGTGCAATTTTGGAAAGAGTTTTCTTTTACCAAGCTGTTCAAGATGCCTAGAACACAGCTGGTACTCACTAAGATTCGTGAAGTGACAGGAGGAGTGAATTGCAAGACTTGTGTGAGCAAAAATAGGGCATCAGAATATGCCCATACCTGACATTTGCATAAAAATCTTCCACTGAAGGAAGACTCACAGATGAGGTTGTACTGTCTTAAATTACCCAGTGAGAGAGAGGGAAGTAAGGACCATTGCTATGTGGAGTAGTGGGACATGCTTAATTATCTCTGCTCCTACTATCTAAGGACTAATGCAACTCCATCCTGACACAGCTCATATCCAGTTTCTGTCCTGAGCACTAGAGGGGTCTGGGGAAATGGAACGTCTGAACATAAGAAACCTTTCTGCATATTATAGCCCCTGTCTGCCCATTTGGGCAGAATCGTTCCAAAAATCCTCCTATTCAGAAATGTATTTTGTGGCCAAGCACAGTGGCTCACACCTGTAATTCCAGCACTTTGGGAGGCCAAGGCAGGAAGATTGCTTGATGCCAGAAGTTCAAAATTGGCCTGGACAACATAGTGAGACACTGTCTCTACAAAAAATTTTTTTAAATTTTTAAAAATTAGCCAGGAGTGATGTCGCATGCCTACAGCCCCAGTTACTCAGCAGGCTGAGGTGAAAGGATCGCTTAAGCCCAGGAGTTCAAAGCTGCAATGAACTATGATCACACTACTGCACTCTGGCCCAGAACACATGGTGAGACCCTGCTTAAAAAAAAAGAAATTAATTTTTCAGTGCTGATGTGTTTTAATAAAAAGCAAGCCCAATGGTGCCTCCTCTTTTTCCTAGGTTTAATTTTCTTAATGCACCAAAACAAAATTATGTGTAGGTAAAATGTAGATTTAACAAAAGGTGGTGGCACAGTCCACATGTCACCTGCATTGGAGTCACTTGTGCAAATCCACAGCCTCATGCTAAATCCACTGAAACAACTCCCAGAGGCAGGGTCCTGCGAAGAAGCATAATTATAGGCTCCCCAGATAATTCCACTGCACACTAAAGTTTAAGAATTTTATAATGCAAAGAATTAGGGATTTGGAGGAAAATGGCTGAGTTCATTTCCACCCCAGATACACATACCAGCCCCTCAAGCTTTCCTAAGCTTGTCATAACAAACCTTTTTAAAATACAGGAACAATACTTACTCATCACAGAGTCACTAGGTCAAATCAGAGTACATTTGAATTTGCTTGGAAAGAGCAAGGGTTAGACAAATACTATTCATTCAAACATGTAATGAATGACTACAAAAGCCAGTTGCTGGGCAAAATGAGATGAGCAGTAAAAAGTGGGAGACCAACATATGTATAACTCTGCATAATGAAATGAATTCAGGGCCATAATAGCAATATCTATCTAAAGGACAATGAGCCCACAGAGGAAGATGTGGTTAATTCTGCACTAATAACCCCCAGGATGGTCTTGGTTACAGACCAAATACAAATGAAGTAAGGCATGCTATCAAAAACAAGTAACAGCAATATGCTGATCCTGACCAAATGGAGACTATAAGAAACACCAAGCCGGCCTCGGTGGCTCAGCCTGTAATCCCACGTCTTTGGGAGGCTAAGGTAAGTGGATTGCCTGAGCCCGTGGGTTTGAGACCCGCCTGGGCAGCGAGACCTCATCTCTACAATAAATCAAAAAATCAACCGGGCGTGGTAGCGCATGCCTGTAATTCCGGCTACTCGGAGGGCTGAGGCGGAAGGATCGCCGGAGCTCAGCAGGCAAGGCTGCAGTGGCCTGGAGTGGCCACTGCACTCCAGTCTGGGCGACAGAGTGAGACTCCAACTCAAAAAAAAAAAATAAAGGAAACACCAAGCTTCAAAAAAAGCTTATGTCTTTATGATATTACCATGTAAGCCAGATCCAGATTCCAATCCTATCTCCATCACACAGAAAAATGACCATCACTTATTACACTCCAGGTGCCATGCTAGAAGCTTTGCATTCCTCATTTCAGTTAATCCCCACAAGGACCTCCTGGTAGTGGTGTGATGCTTCCAAGGGGTCAAGTGACCGTGGGCAATCATGAATTCAAATGGAGGCCTGACTGATTCCCAATGTCCGTGAATGTGGCATGCTCAACCCATCCTTTGTTAAAATGGCCATACGCCATGAGCTCATCTTTAAGAAAATGTTGTTATGGCCTGTTGGCTGAAGAGCTGCAAGACACATTAGCCAAAGCTGAAGATTCTTTCTCCAGGCTGATTTAAGAAACACACTAGGAGACTTGTGACAGGTAAACTGTAGCAGAGAGAGGAGCACATGACATGACCTCATGTAGCGAGATCTTCATATCATTTTTCATATTTTTAATGAACAAATATCAGCAATAAGGACAGCTAACATTGTTCAATATTACTTATTAAGCTAAGATATTAACATGGATTGCCTCAATAAACCCTCTTTTACAGCTGAAAAAACTGAGGTACAGAGAGATAAAGAAACTTAACCAGAGCTGGGATTGGGGCCTGGTCAACCTCAGTTCAGAACTCTGGTTCTCCACCATCTTGGCACCTACGGCTTGCACCCCTGACCTGATGTGACTTGGTCATGCCAGAGAACCCACTACCATGCAGGTGTCTCAAGACTCTGGACACAGAATTCTCTAAATACACAAACTAATACATCTACTGCTGATAGTCTAGCAGGTGAGTCATACAATATCAGTTATGTATTTAGCAAAGCATACACATCAGGATTTTCCACCTAATTAATTTTCTGGAATCCTGACCAGCATCATTTTTCTAATTCACCCACAGACATACCCATCCCATGTTGAATGTCTATGTGCCAGGCACAGGGGTTAATGACAAGCTCAGCCTCTCCCCACCAAGTTCAGACTCCCCCTCACCTTCAGCTGTTTGACCTTCTCTTTTCAGCATCTGGACAGCTCCTACATATTTCTTCAGCTGGACTTTGAGCACCTCGTTTTCTCTGCAAGTACAAGAATGTTAAAAAATATATTTAACAATTGGCAATTTAGATCCAAGGTGGGGAGAATCTGTGTAAAGAAATACAAAATTTATATCTCATGAATACTAATATGTTCTCATGGGAAAGGGCTATGTTACCAAGGGCACGTTTGCAAGAGGCCTTCAAGAGCTGTTCATTCACAACAGAGATAAGCACTAACTGGTTCCAGTGCCCAAAAATTCAGAATGCTGACACATGCTGTGTTCAGGCTGTTTGAAGTTATCAATCTGTTAGGGGCCTAATCACTGTCAGGAGGTCTGTAATCTTCTCTCCATTTACAGAAGCACATACTAAATAGTGTGCACTTATCCTAGGCAATGAGCTTAACATTTTATTAACTACAACATGTATTAAACACTTATTATTAGCCAGACATCACATCGGGTGTTTATAAATCATCTCACTGAATCCTTCCAAGGCACTAACACCACCCCTATTTTGTAGGTAAGGAAACTGTGGCATAATGAAGAGAAGCAGTCTACCCCCATGTAAGATGATACTATGGAACACAGAACCCAGGCTACAAGATCCCACCTACTGAATTCACTCCCCAGGTACACTGGCTGAGGATGGCACATGAGGATTCAGGGAGAAAGCTGCCATTTGTTGAGTATTTACATTTTACATATATCTCATTGAATCAAGCATGCACTCATGCATGCATTTACTCATTCATCCGCTCTTCGTTCAGTAGAAAAATGCTTCATTCAGTAGAAAAATGCACAATGACCTTGAGTATCCACCCCATTTTACTGGAAAGGAGTAAGACAGATAAGATCTCCAACCAAGGTCACATGGTCAAGGCTGCCAGTACGACACACTGCCAAGTCCAAACACAAGTATTCCTGCCCCTAAGGCCCACAAGAGCTTTTCTCTATCTCCTCTGGGAGTCAGCCTTGGTTTCTCACCAGCTACACAGAGAGAAGCACCTCTCCTACATTTTCTGTTTCTGCCTCCATCCACCTCTTTTCCTTGTGAGAAAACAAAGAAAAAATATTCTAGCAAGGTTAAAGGCACTCAGGATAAGTCTTGAGTGTCTCAGGGTCAAGACCTGAGTGCCTTTAAATGTGCTAGAATATTTTACAACAACAACAAAAAAGAGCTTAAGACTGGGCTTCTCCTATGATTCTAAAAATAAAAATGCATATTGCAAAATACTCAATCAGAACACATTTAAAGAAAAAACTGAACAAATGAGCTGAAACTCCAACACCTTGAAATAAACTCCATTAACATTTTTTTCTCCATCTTAGCACAGCACACTGCTTACCAGGCATGCACATACACACTAAATACAGTTTTTCATGGATGAAAACAGCTTTACTATGCCTTTAATGTCTGTTTGCTTGAAGTCTTTTTTCCTTTGTTTACTGCTCCAGTCACCCCTTCCCCATGGTAACTAATGGTAAAAACCTGGTATATATGTTTCATGGCTTCTTCCATGCACAGATAACTATACCAACCTAATACACTCACACAGACTTGACTTTAGAAAACAGGATCATATTATAAATTTTTCTGTGAAAGGACTGTCTCATGTAACAATTCATCACAGCAAGCATTGAAGTCAGTCTATTAATGAATGGAAATACCACTCCTTGCTACAGACATGCCACACATTTACTTGGCTGAGAAACTCAGAACTGCACATCACTGGTGCTGCGTGTCTGTTTTCAACGCATCTGACTACACCTTGGCCGACAACAACAGCGTTTTCTTTGTATTGTGCTTCTCGGGGCTATATTTTGGCAGAAAGAACATCAGGATCAAACATAGAAACTAGCATATACTTAGGTAACACCTGAGTATGCTACATTCATCTCCGAAGCTTTAGAGAAAGTAAACCACCACCAAGTCCCTAATTATCCCCCTTATCCTAGACAAAGCCTGTCATGGATGTTTCCACAGGCACCTGCACATTCTCCATCTGTGATATGAATAGCAAATGCTTGAAACTAAGCAACTAACAAGTCCTGCAAAGGTTTGTGGAGGGAAAACATTCCCTGACGTGGATAGTACAGTGTGTTTTCTCGGGTTCCTTTAGCCCGGTCTCACCACCCAGTCCAGCCTATTCCAAATTTCCCTGTGTGAATTCAAGTTACATATTATCTGAAAAACCAGAGAAAAAAGTACTTTATGCTCATTTCTACATGGCAGATTTCTAATGATAGTTCATGAAGGAACGCTTTCCAAGAGAACCAACAGGTTAGCTGTGCTTGGGCCAACCAACAGGCCAGTTGTGTCAATGACCCGCTGCTGGGTCTCACCTTATTTGCTCCCTACTGCAGACAGGACAACACTGGGCTTCCTTGTTCATCTTCAGCTCTGTGGCCAGGACTGAAATGTTTCAGGTGACTGCTTTTCCTCTGATTTGAACTGATCATTTAGTAGTGTGCTAAGACTCCACCTAAAAATCACACCTAACACAACAAAACCAGATTTCTAATATAAGTCCAACTTCCATCAAAATGATGAGAAGTCATGGAGAATACATCAAACCACTGGAAGGACATCTTTGGGAGCCATAAACCCACTCTAGTCAACTTTGTACCAATGGACTTGTTTGCCTTTGCAGTAATTCAATATTTTCAAGTCTCTGGGACTGCTGAAGTTCTTCTTGAACAAAACTCGAAGACTAGGCCAGCTTACAGACTGCTTCAAGAGGCAACTGGCCTCTGATCTCCAAAGTTTACCAAGACCTTTCTATTTTTAATTTTTATTTTGAAATATTATAGGTTCACAGGAAGTTACAAAGATAATACCAAGAGGCCCTACATACCCTTGGCCCAGTTTTCTACCAGCAGTTTCATTTTATGTAGCTATAGGGCGGTATCACAACCAGGAGACAGACACGAGCACAATGTGTGTATATAAGTCTATCAATCTCCTTATTGTAACTGATGCTCATAAGAATCTTGGCCATAAATAAAATACAGACTTAAATGACCACAGTGGCCAGACAGTCTATGCCAATGAGTCAAACAAACCAGATATAAGACACATGGGTGTAGGGACAGGGATGTGACAAACTAGAGAGTTCTTGCCCTGCCGAAAGGTTTTTGTTTTGTTTTGTTTCATTATCATATTACCAGTCCAAGAAAATAATTCCCAGACTTTCAACAACTAATTTGCAATGGGTTAACAAGGTTTTAATTTGTAGGCAGAGAAACCATACAGAACTTATGATTCTTATCACTATATAGATCTATGGTTATCATCAAAAAGAAATGCCTTTTATTTGATACCTCATAAGACAATGGAATCGATCAGTTAACTAAATGCATTCTAACTATGAAAGTCCTCAGAAACCCTCGTATATGAAACAGAGACAGGGACAATGGTTAGAACCCTCAACCCCAGCCCAAGTCACGTCACCAGTTGCCTGTCAGCCTGAACAAGTAAGAGGCAAAGTGAGAAAGGAAGACCACGGCCTGACCACGGGCTCCAGGTGCATTAGCACCCACCTCAGTGTCTTGGTGGCTATCCTCTTCACAATCTAACAGAGGGCAAAGAGGGGGGTCCGGGGGGGGCAAGAGGGGCAGCCCAGGCAGTCACACACAAATACACTACTAACCAGACTCAACACTGAGTGCTAAAGCCATCATGTTTTTAACCTGTGTGTGTGGTTGTTAGCTATGTTCTCTGGTTTTCTATAACTAAGTAATGGTTGAAAACAAAAAGCACTCTCATTGTCTGTCTCTTAAAGCTTTTTAACTTAAAGGAAATGCTGAGAGAGGGATGATGCTGCCATTGTAAAGCAAGCTCTCCCTTCATCCTCTTCTACGTGGATCAGGCAGCGCCCCCGGTCAGTCTGTGCTGGCGGCAGGGGACCCAGCAAGCCTAGGAAGATGAGAATCTGACCATGGAGGCACAGGGGCTGGGAGTCCTCGGTTACATCTTTGGGCAACTCTCTCTTCTTTACTTCATGGGACTTCCCTCTTGTTTAGCTCTAGGGTCTCCACAGCTCAGACAAAGATCATCCCACCATACCTTTGCCCTTTTTCCAACCAATGAGTAAATCCTAACACTCCATCTGGAAAACAATCTGGAAAAGTTGGGAATCGGGGGTGCTGCTGTGGCAAAGGAACTGTCAGTGCTCAGCTTCTCCACTGAAATGAGATGCTTGGGAAGACTTGGGGGACTTGTGGGACTGACCATTCGCTCCACTTCCACCCTGGGGTGCTGCCACTGGTGCACCAGGTGCAGCTGGGGCCCTGCTTGCCCTGTCTGTGACCAGTCAGTGACCCATCTGTTATCAGTGGGCTGTCTCCAAGGACTGAGTCTCTCAGCTGCAATTCACACATCTGACTCAAACAAGAAGGTGTCGTTTTGGGGTGCCCTTGGTGATGACGAAGGTGATAACGAAGAAACCACAGGACAAGGAGCAAGTGTGGGGTTCAGTCAGACAGAGCCTGTCTCCCACAGCACAAGCAGCTGCAGTGGGAACTGACCTTACTAAGACCAACTTGCAGAAACGACTCTCCACTTCCCCCACTGCCTTTTCAGTACTCAGCCAATTCCTCCCACTTTGTGAAGGGTAGCTGGATCCAACTTCTCAGTGTTCAATGAAAGGAGAAAAAACACAAAGAAAATGAAAAAACCAGAATTTCCCACATGCGATGTGTTCCCAAGATCACTGGAGGAGCCCACCAAACTTTTCCTATTATAATACGAAGGCATTTCTTCTATGATGATTTTGTAAAAAACTGATTTTTTATTTATTGCAATGAAATTAAGACTGCCTTTAAGATAAATTGAAGGTTTTCAAAAGTAAGTGGATTTAAAGAAAAAATATTAAGTAAATGGTAACACAGGTGATACACAGGTGTGGAAAAACCATTAAGGTAGTACACAGGGACTGAGGCTGGAGGGAGAGGGTCTTTGCTTTAAATAAAATAACGATACAGACCACTGTGGGAAACATAGCAAGACCTTGTCTCTACAAAAATTTTTTTTTTTAA